TCTCCATTTACACATTAGAGGTAGAGGGGGGAAACTCCCCACTAAGCTATTGTATTTTGACAGTGGGGAGACTTCCCCATTGTCAGACTACACTGATAAGTGCTGCTGGCTATAGCCTCCAGCGGTTATGAAGTGGGAAAAATCTGACAGACTGGTTGTAGAGAAGTCGATCAGATACATGGATTAAAATTTGCCTGGTACCTTCTGAACTGGCTTAATTTTGATCCATGTTTGGCTGATCCATGTATGTAATGCAGCATGTATTAGTGTAAATGTACCCTCAGATACCCTGCAAGTGCAAAAAGATATCTGTTGGTGTACCTGAAATATACCCAAATCCTAATTTCTTTTGTGGACTGATAACACACAGCATTATTGTGCATTTATGAGTAACAGTTACAGCTATTTTTTACCTTCCAAGAGATCACATTGTTCCGCTTGCCATCTTTTAACTTTCTCCCTCGAAGGAGGAGTGTCCTCTTTGTATAGGCATCATCCAGGGAAGGTACTGTATGTCACAATAGTGTTTTTGTGGCCCTCTCAGTGCTTCACAAGATATATCAAGGGATTAATACAGTTATTACAGTCATTTACCAAAGTGACATCATCTTTTTCTAGACTTGAATAGGTTTCCTTTTAGTACACAAAATGTGGATCCTTGTTATTTAGTGCACTCAGTTCATCCCACTTTTTCCTCTGAGGCCATTTTTCAAGCAACTTGGAGTACTAGTGTTAGATTTAAATTCTGCTTCCTGAAGGTTTGGTTTCTATACGTTAGGGTTCCACGTTGTTTTTTTGTCCGGGTTTCTTTCTCTTAACCTTTAAAGATAACTAGAACTTGTAAATCAGAAAGACCAGAACTTTTCTACTGCCTGTACTACATCAACAGGTCACAGACATTTAAGGTCACTTAAAACACTTTGGTGTTTTTGTTGTTTTGCGTTAACACACATGTGTTACCATGTGTAATATCAGACATGAACTTATCTTACGTTAAGGCAGCCAAGTCGTGAATAGGCTGCCAATCCACAAGAACAGACAACCCTCACATTCCTTCTGTACTGAAATGTATTGTAATTGTACTTTCTCCCTTATATTGTAAAGCGCTGCGCAAACTGTTGGTGCTATATAAATCCTGTATAATAATAGTAATAATAACAAAAAGTGGGCCTGCTACATTTTTCCAAAGCAGTGCATACACAACAAATGGCAGTGTGTTTGCATTGTGGTGTGCGTTGTGGTGTGCTGCATTGCCTTAGAGTTTTGGGTTGTCATTCAAATGCAATGGCACCTCACTAAGCTAATGCACAAAACATGTATCAATGTGCTTGTACATTGCATTGCAAAATTGTATTTCGACCCTTAGGTTATAAGGCAATGGTCTCCAAACTGTAGCCCAGGGGCCAGATGAGGACCTTTGCTTGCTTTTATCCGGCCCTTGGACTATTATTTCCCTGTCAGCAACAGCAGCACATAGTTCCTGCCAGTGACAATGGGGCACTATTCCTCCCTCTGACACCAATGATGGGACACCATTCCTTCCACTGACACCAATGATGGGGCACTATTCCTACCACTGATACCAATTATGGGACCCCATTCTTTCCACTGACACCAAAGATAGGGCACTATTGGTCCCACTGTGTCAGGGTCCTGTCCACGGCAGAAGCTCTGGAAGATCTGGCATTTCTGCCAGTACCCTGCATGGCCACAGAAGCACGCATCAGCCTCAGTTTGGTGCCAGACGGCCTTTATAAGGAGGCACATCATTTCCTCAACTTGCTGGATGATCTCTAGCTCCCCATACCTTGTTCTTGTTTCCTGTGTTATTGTGACCTGTGATTTCCTGATACCGACTCGGCTTGCTCTTGGACCTGTCTACTCTACTTAACCCCTGATTTGACCTCAGCTTGGCTAATTGATACTCTCTCTCTCTCGCTCCTCTGCGTATGACCTCAGCTATCCCATCTGACTACGTCTGCTCTGATTCCCACCTGGCACCTGATCTTGGCTTGAACCGGCTATTCAGTAATCCTCTATCCCCGGAAGGGCTTGAATACCTCGCACAGGTGCCACCTGTCTGCAGACCTCATCTCCGTGCATCAGCTGTGCTCTTGGATGGACCACCAACAAGCACTCTTACAGGCAACCTGTGCCACTTTGGGCCTGACTCCCGCTGTCCCACTCTCAGGGGAGTCTGGAACTCCCACAAGGGAAGCCCTCTTTCCATTGGCCTCCATCACCAGGTAAGTGATACACTGATACCTATGATGGGCACTTTTTCTCCCACGGACACCAGTGATCCATTGATGGGGTGCTATTCCTCCTGCTGACACCAATGATAGGGCACTATTCCTCCTAATGATACCAAAGATGGGATACTTTTCCTCCTCCTGCTGACATCAATGATGAGGCACTATTCCTTCCACTGACACCAAAGATGGGACACTATTCCTCCACCTAATATCAAAATGGGGACAGTCTTTACTCCCACTGACAACAAGACATTTTCTACTCCTGCTGGCAACAGTCTGGCCCTCCTAAAGTTTGAAGGACAGTAAACTGGCCCTTTGTTTACAAAGTTTGGAGACCCTTATAGGGGAAAGGCAAATTGACCAATATCCCAAGACTCCCATCCTCTGCAGTTCTCCAGTTATGTGGCTTCAGAATTTAATTCCAGGTGCTGAAACACTATATTCTACAGAACAGAACCAGTGCACTACATATGTATGAGAGGAGGGTGTTTGGAGCTTTGCGTCAGGCAGAAGGTCTGGAGAAATCAAAGGCTACTGTCTGGAATCTCAAAAATTGCCTGTAGGCTAATCACTGACTGGATCCTTTGGGGTGTGCCACCACACTGTTTCTAATTATGCTTAAGTCAGGTACTATATAACTGTTAACTCCTTCAGTATGTACAATAGTGATGCCCATTTGGTCAACATGAAAAATATAAATGAGTTCTCCAGTTTTCTCGTGAGCCTTTAGATATTAATTAATAAAAATGTCGACACATTGCTCCTCATTCTATAAGTTTATTTTTACATGACATAGATATATATATATATATATATATATATATATTTTTTTTTTTTTTTACACCATTACCAGCTCCGATATGTGTGATCTCATATATATCAACTGTTAAACACCATAACTGAGTACATACAATTTAAAATAAATATACAGTAGTATTTGTTTTATATGTAGAGTGATTGTCATCTAAAATGAAAGCTGGGCTCTAGGCTTATATAAGAATACAATTTTTTGGAGGTACATATTCATCAAAAACAATTAAATATTTTTTAAATACAGCTGGTATAGGTACCCAAAATTGTCTTTACACCAGCTGCCTGTAATCACATGTACAGCAGTACACAGACTGTCAGTGTGTATTGCTTGATACAGTACTATCAATCTAAGGCTCGATTCACACTAGGCATTGGAAATTGTGCGCCTTTGGAGTACCACTTTACACTCTCTGGCACTCAAGTCACAATAAAGTTCCATCAAAGTAGTGCAGGAATCTTTTTAAAGTTGCTGCAACTGTAAGTTGCATAGATTGGAAAGGGTGCCATTGAAATCAATGGGCTGCTACTTTTCATGGAATTTTATGTGTCCAAAGTCACATGACAAGTCGCACTAGTGTGAACGGAGCCTAAAGGTGCAAAAAGGAGATTCGATGATAGTCTCCTGATCTGGCCTTTTTGACTGGACCAGACAATGATCTTGAATCTATGGGTTAACCACCCATAAGGCAGAATTACTATTTTCAGAACAAAGTGATTGGGCATGTTAGAAAACTATGTCCATTTGCTAGTGTTCTCCCTGAGGTAAGGCAGTGCCAGAGCTATTCACTGATTTCTAGGACCAGCTCTCTAGGACTGTGCTGCTACTCGTTCATCTTCGGGCTTGGACAGGATGGTTATACCACAATGTTCATAACGTAAAGTGGTGTCATCCTCCTGATTGTGCAATATATGACAGGGGCATGCTTATTAGGGTCATGTGTGGCAGGTCCAACTGTATACACTTTTAACCCCCTTCCGCATGAGGCTTTCTTTTCCCTGTACCCCTCTTCTGCTCAAATTGCCTACTGGAGAGCTGAGTCTGATCCTTGTGTAAGGTCCATATTAGGCCTTGTTCACATTGCGTGTTTTAAAGCGTTTGCCTGTGGAGGGCCATGTATACCTGCACAGGGATGCAAAGGTGTTCCATGCTTCCCCGTGCAGGTAGTTCCATTGATGTCAATTGGGATGCAGCGTCTACAAGATCACAGATGTTGCTCCCCATTTGACATGTGCAGGTGCATCTCCCCAAATGTACACGTTGTGCTGGGGTCTGTGCACCTGCACAAATGTCATATTGGGAGCAACGGGTGTGTCCAAAATTACATCTATAGGACTACCTGCATGTAACATCTGTGTATCCACATTCATGGGCATTAGATTTAGTAAGTATTGTGTGAACAAGGCCTTAGTTAGTGTCAGAGCAAGTGTTAATTACCTTCTCCCTTCCCCTGCAGGACAGTGTTAAAGCTTGTCAAATGGCCCTGAACCAGCATAGCAACAGGTTCAATATAAATACATATTATAGGATAAATTTTTTTAGCTCAGTGACATCTTTCTAGGCCTACATATTTTACAATAGAAAAAAATATAGAACATAGCAAAAGCAATAAAATGTCTGTAAAGAATAACTTTCTTCACTTTCAAAACTGTTGCTCACCTGTCCTTGTGAGACAAAAGCATGAATTCTCCCAAAGAGGTTCTGATGACAATGGTTATGTGTGCAGGACTAAAGGAATAGAGATCAATATCCCAGTAGCACAGGATTTTGACATGAGCAGATTGAATACCAGAAGCAAATGGATAAAATCATGGTACATCTATTGAACAAATTCTTACCATGTCCATTTCTTGCAGGATATAATACACTAATTTATTTTAAAGTGACATGTTCTATGTATCTTGTCCAGAATAGTAAATCTGTAATCATGATTCTCATTGAGGTAGGATTCCTAGCTGAATCAGTTTTTCCTTAACGAAATCTGAAGCCAGATCAATGGGACGTTTCTTATAGATGTCCAAAGGGCTGTATAAACTTGCTCCTCCATTTAAGAATTCAACAAGTGTGTCCACAAATCCTTCACGAATGGCATCATGAGCTGGGCATGTGCCAGTTGATGGGTCAGGGATTGTAGGGTCTGCACCATGCTCAATAAGTAGTTGGGCTATTTGTGGACATCCCATCAACATCACCTTCATTTACAATTCAAAAATAGGAAGTAGAGAAAGCAGAGAGAGGGAAACAACAGAGAGGAAAGAAATTGAGAGAAAGATTATTAATTCAGTCATTTGTACCCCTAACAATTAGACATTATTATCATCCTTATATATCAGCATCAAAGTACCAACATCTCTACTGAAAATCAAAGGCCTCTGTAATAATTGTTGTAGATCCTAAGGTGCAAAGACTGTGTAAGAAGTTTAGACTTCATGCACACTGGCTCAAAAAACACCAGTGTTCCTGGCAGAAAAAAGTGCTAATTTTGAGTGGTTTTTTTGTAATAGTGTTTAGCAGCATTTAGCAGCGTTCAGCATTTTCTTCCCCCAGAAAAATGCTTCAAAAACGCAAAACAGAAAGGATTTTTTTTTCTGCCTCTAAATGCTGAGCTTAAAAAAATGCTTTGACTACCTAATGTGCATGAACACATAGGATAACATTAGTTTCTTCCACAAGCAAAACACCTCTAGGAGCAGCGTTTTTTAACCTCTTCCCATCCGCCCATTCCTGTATGTTAGCCTGCATAGATGGATCCTGCGTGGCTCACAGAGCGCACACCCCGGAGCCTAGTGATCGGTGTGTCACCCAGGCACAGCGGATCACATTAGCGCTGTGTTTGTGTGATCATGTGATGTTTTACCATGTGACTCTGTAGAATTTTCAGAGACACATGTAATCATGTTTAGTGTCTTTAGGCGATTTCAGATAATTAAAGAGCTGGCAAAGTAAAAATAAAATGTAAGGGGTAAAGTGTCAGTACCACAAACGGTAACCCCGAGCTACACTCGGGCTTACCATGCGGCGCTGCTCTGAGATCTGTTCTTCTCTTACCTTGTCCTGCGCTCCCGCGATGTCCCTCCTGCTGCAGTGTCCCCTGTAATGTCCTCTGTCTTCTGGGCTCCGTTCCCTGCGACGTCGGGACGTACAGGGATGGAACGGCGGGAAATTAGAAAATGACAAAAATTACATTCACTAAATTCACTAAAATAACATAGTAAAATATTACTGTATCAAACCATTTCACATACATTTTGTCCCGAGTGCTTTGTCCTGTGCCCTGCCTGCATTTTTACTGTTCTATCTGCCTGGACACTGAGAAACGTCCATGGCTTCCAAAAAGCGTCCCTTTAGGTCAAAATCGGTTTTAGACCAGCTAGAGAACAGCCATAGTAAATTAGAACCACTTGCAGAATTGAGTGATAATGATTTGTGGGGAAATTCGTCATCAGACACTGAAAACGATTTTGCGACTTTGCTCAGTGATGTGGGAACTTGGCGCTATATTTCTAATTTCAGTGTTTTTGGTTTGATTATATTATTGAAGTAAATTTATTGTTATACTTTTATTTTTTATGATTATTTATTAAATTATAATTTATGATTTCGTGTTTCAAATTTTTAACATACCCGGGATGTTTACTAGATTCTTGTTCGGACAGATTTCAGTGAGTTATTCTTAAAAATTACAGGCCTACAATAAAAAAACTACATATTTCCATGCAAAAAAAGGTACCGCGTTGAGCACAGAAATATGGACATAATCAGAGGAGGTTAAAAAAACAATGTAAAATGTATCATGAATAACAGTTCAGTGTAGGTAAAACAAAAATATAAAAACAGAGGTTATAAAGATGTGTCAACCTTATTGTCATGGCTGCCCTACCATGTGCTTCTGAGCAGCTGAGTCTGAGCAAGAAAAAGGAAGTGACGTGATCTAAGAGAATACACCAGTTTCAGCTTGTCAGTATGTGAATAACCATGCCATGGTTGTGTGTATGTCTGTATGTGTGTGAATGGATGGATGTATGTGTTGTATTGTGTATTGTGTCCTACGCATCTCTAAGGATGTCTTTTTATGTTACATGTAGACATCATAATTCTCATAACTCAGAACCTTGTATGGCAAACAATTCTGCTTAGTAGAGCAATTTCATTGAAGGTAGGGGATACTCATATATGGTCTTTTTATTGACAAGCCCATATGTAACATTCTTCTTGATCTGAAACGTGGCTTCATAAGTTGACAATGTTACATCAGTCTACTCATGTGACAAATTTCTCTGTTTAAAGGATAGTATAACTAAGCATCTATCTTTACAAAATAGTATCTCAATAATGTTGTATAACCAAAAATCTACTTATGTAACACATATTACCAACTTATAAAACATAAATTAAATACACACAGATACTATTAGAATATATATTATTTCATACTGATTCTATTTTGGTTCACTTCTGACTAACCGACACCAAAAGATCTTTTAACCAGCTATGCCCATCTATAGAAATGTCCTAAATACTCAGCTTCCAGCTAGTTAACATAACGCCAAATACTCTGACATTTTTCTGGCTCAGTTATAATGGAAGAATTCAACACTATCACTTGTCAAGGTCAACCACACATTTTAATATTAATTATGATTAATCATAAAAACCAAATGTTTTGCAAGCGTACCATAAATATAATATAATTCCTATAAGTGCTGAGTTATGAATTTGGAATTAATGTTTAACAGACTGCTGTGACCAATCACAGAACTCATATAGTAAACATTGAAACTAAAAGTAAAGATCGCTTCTCTCTGCTCTCAGTGTGAAAGCAGAGAAAAGCGATCCTGCAGTGTGTGAGTGTACAGGAGCTTGTCAGGCTGCTTGTACACTTACACACTGCAGTGCCAGCCACCCCAGTGCCCCAGTTTAGTGCCCCTGTGTCCCTGATCACTGCCCCACAATATCAATAATAAATAATGCAGGGAGACCCTGTCACCTGTCCCATTGCACACAAAACACCTCCATACACCATACCAATGTCCTGATCACCACCATACCAATGTCATGATCACCGCCATACTCCAAACCAACACCCTGATCACCGCCATACCAGCATCTTGATCACCTCCATACACCATACCAGCGCCCTGATCACCTCCATACACCATACCAGTGCCCTGATCACCTCCATACACCATACTAGCGCCCTGATCACCTCCATACCCCATACCAGCATCCTGATCACCGCCATACCCCATATTAGGATCCTGATCACCGCCATTCCCCATACCAGCATCCTGATCACCCTATATGCCATACCAGTGTCCTGATCACCACCATATCCCATACCAGTGTCCTGATCACTGCCATACCCCTTACCATCACCCTGATCACCACCATACCCCATACCAGTGTTCTGATCACTCCCATACCCCATACCAGTGTTTTGATCAGCTAAATACCCTATACCAACATCCTGATCACAGCCATACCCCATACCAGCATCCTGATCACCCCCCCATACCCCGTAACAGCGTCCTGGCTACTGCTTTATCAGTGTCCTGATCACCGCCATACCTCATGCTATTGACCTGATCACCGCCATACCCTTATACCAACATCCTGATCAATGCCATAGTAGTGTCTGGCATTTTAGGATCTCAACTGATCAATTTTTAAATATATATCTCATATTTGTGTAGACTCTATAGCTTTCACACAGTTTTTTAGTGCCCCTGTGTTCCTGATCACTGCCCCACAATATCAATAATAAATAATGCAGGGAGGCCTTGTCACCTTTCCCAGTGCACACAAAACCCCCCCATACACCATACCAATGCCCTGATAACCACCATACCAGTGTCCTGATCACCGCCATACCTGGCTACTGCCATATCAGCGTCTTGATCACCGCCATACCTCATGCTAATGACCTAATCACCGCCATACCCCATACCAGCATCCTGATCAATACCAGATGCCATAGCAGTGTTCAGCATTTTAAGATCTCAACTGATCAATTTTCAAAATTTTCAAATATATATCCTATAGTTTGTAGACTCTATAGCTTTCCCACAGTTTTTTTAGTGCCCATGTGTCCCTGATCACTGCCCACAATATCAATAATAAATAATGCAGGGAGACCCTGTCCCGGTGCACACAAAACACCCCCATACACCATACCAATGTCCTGATCACTGCCATACCAATGTCCTGATCACCGCTATACCTCAAACAAACACCTCGATCACCGCCATAGCAGCACCCTGATCACCTCCATACACCATACCAGCGCCCTGATCACCGCCATACACCATCCCAATGTCCTGATCACCAACATGCCAGCATCCTGATCACCCCATATGCCCTACCAGTGTCCTGATCATCGCCATACCCCTTACCATCACTCTGATCACCACCATACCCCATACCAGTGTTTTTATCAGTGCCATATCCTATACCAGCATCCTGATGACAGCCATACCCATGCCAGCATCCTGATCACCCCCATACCCCATAACAGCATCCTAGCTACTGCCATATCAGTGTCTCAATCACCGCCATACCTCATGCTAATGACCTGATCACTGCCATACCCCATACCAGCATCCTGATCAATACCAGATGCCATAACAGCATCTGGCATTTTAGGATCTCAGCTGATCAATTTTCAAATGCATATCCCATAGTTTGCAGACTCTATAGCTTTCACACAGACTAAATAATGTAAACTGTTTTGGGTTATTTTTGCCCCAGAAATGTAGCACATTACATTTTCGCCTAAATATATTTTAAAAAATTATCTATTTGCAAAATTTTATAAAAACTATGCAAAAAATTTATGTTTTTCAAAATTTTCAGTATTTTTTAATTTATACAGCAAAAACAAAAAACCCAGTGGTGTTCAAATACCACCAAAAGAAAGCTCTAACTGTCTTAAAAAAAGGATACAAATTTCATAAAGGTATAGCGTTGCATGACTGAGTAATTGTCACTCAAAGTGTGATAGTGCCGAAAACTGAAATTTGGCCTGGACTGGAAAGGGGTAAAAGTGTCCAGACTTGAAGTGGTTAAGCCAGTGTTCATGGACGCTACAATACTTATTAGTTGGTGCTTTCTTTCTTAGTTCCCACCAAAGATCCAATTTGGTTGGATTTCAGTTTACACTGTAAAGATGTATGACACAAAACAGTTCAGGCACCATATT